GGCCATGGTTGCATGCAATGGGGGTAGTTCCCTCAACGTTGCATCAACTATTGCGGTTCCCCACAGAACATGGGATTAAAAAAGTCAGAGGAGACCAACTGCAGGCAAAGAATTACTCCATGGCAGCAATGAAAACTACCCGCAACATTCGAAAACTAGGGAAGGCAGAGATTGAAGACGAGGACATGGAGGTCCTAGATGATGTCGGCAAGGAGTCAGTCGAAAAGAGTGAAGAGACACTGAAGAAAATCCTCGTCCAGGAGGGCGACGAAGAGCGCTTCTTTCTTTTCGGCTCAAGCTTAGCCAAAAAAGAAGAAAGAGAATTGAAAAAAAAACTACTCGGCATCAATGGCAGGATATAGAAGACAGTTGGGAAGACTTCTCAGCAGCCTTCTCGGCCTCGAGCTCAGCCTCGATCTCCTGAAGAGTTTAATCAAGGCTCTTCTCGGCGATTGGCACCTCGGAGTTTGAAGGCAAAGATTGAAAGCAAGAATCTGAAAAAAGACACAGAAAACAGAAACATGAATGTAATTCGTAATCAAGAATGATGATGAAGCTATCAAGAAATCAAGATAAAAAGATTGCACAAGTATGTCAAGCAAAGAACAGTGGTAGAAATCAATAGATGTGTGAACAGTGTGTATTCAAGAAGATGATTTGGAAATAACGGGTAAAAAAGGCAATGGTGATTAACAATGAAGCAGAGCTTCTTGGAAAGCAACAAGAAATAAAACCAGGAGGAACAGTAGCTTACTAGAAAGAGGGAAGTCGGAATGAGAATTGCCGAAGTCTGACGACAATGACAGAATAACGTAAAGCTTCACCGGAGGAGAGAAACGAAGACAGTTGCAGAAGCTTGAAAGCTTGGAACAAATGACGGATTTAAGCAAAAGAGCTAGAAAGAGAAGAAGCTAGAGGATTAAATGAAAAAAAAGAAAAATAGTCAAGAAGACGACAAAGTTCAAGAATAAAGCCAAGTGCACAGACACTAAGTATGTGAAGAACAAGAAAGTAATGAACCAGACATGATGCTAGCAACAGAAAGCGGGTATGACAAAGAACAGGTCCAGGCATTTTAGCAATAAGAAATCAAAAACTTGAAGACAGACGAGAACAGAAGGCCACAGATGGCAAATAAACAGATTCAAAGTAAATCAGAAAAGTTATGAAAGATTGAGCTTAATAAAAAAGTAAGAGTTTATGAACCTACAAAGTGAAATAAACACCGATATGAAAATCGCCGAAGTCAAATAAGTGACTGGAAATCGGAAACTCACCAGAGAGTGTGAGTGGAGCAGTTGCAAAACTCTTGGAGTTTACGAATTAATAGAACCAGAACCTCGGCTAGGAGGTGCGATTTCAAACAGCTCGGAAATCATGAAACTTGATTCTTGACACCAGTGGACAGTAAAGTCCATAGAACTTTGAGGTCGGCGAGTTTGATCTCGGACAGAGGGGCACAGATGAACAAACAGTGTAGGTTCCATTACCTCAGAATGCTGAAGTAATAGAACCTTGGGGGCAGTTGTAGGGATATATTTTCTGAGTACCAACACGTGGCAAGGTGACGCCGACGTGTCAGCCGAGGTGCCACGTGTCTTGGTCGTTGTGCCGAGGTCATCTCGGCTAGGCCGAGGTTGCCTCCGAAGATATCGGAATCCGAGATAAGCGGATAAGGGACAAAAGTCCTAGAATAAAGAGGGAACTCAACTTGGATATGGACAAGAGTCCTAGATTGGGAGAAGACTTCAGTTTGGGTAAGGATAAGACTCTTAGAAAGTTTATCCTAATCCCACTGGGAGTCCCGAGTAATCCTAAGAACATTAGGACCAGGCTCCTTTTGGGACTAGGATTGTATTGGCTATAAAAGAGAGGCACCCCCATGGGTCTAAGATATGCTTCTAATACTCAAACTTGTGAGTTTAGTACTTGATTTATCTTTAAGAGATATACTGACTTGATCGTCGGAGTGCCCCGGGTGGTCGAAACCACCGTGAGATTCTTATATTTCTGTTGCAGGTCAGTCAGGTGTCATCTATTCTGCCAGTGCTCTCCAGCTGGTTACTAAATGGGCAGTATGGTCGGAAAATCACCCACACAATTTCCATCTTCGATTTATCAAGGTAAAAGATTTCAAAACAAAACAAAACAAAAATTTGTGGATAATTAAACTAAAATAAATAATTATATTTTATAAATACTTATTTATCTTTTCTCAATTTTCTAACCCAACTATAAAAAATAAAATAAAAATAGAAGTCTTTTACTCTTTTCACCTTTTTTTATTTTATTTTATTTTATTTTTTTCAAATTTAAGATTAAAACATAACATAAAGGATGAGTTTAGAAATCACTAAGCAATATTGTCCAAAACTTTTCAACTCGCGAAAGTGTTTGGGTTTCGCTCCAATTAATCCCAGATATATCTCACATAGTGTGCCTGTTTCACATATATCACATAATTACCTACCTATGTTTTAAACTTAAAATCATGTAGAACCGGTTATGGGAGTGGTGGGCTCAAGGGGAATGAAGAATAATGAAACTTAAAATCATTGATCAGTTTTGAGGTTTGAATTATGATTTTCCATATGAGTCATAAACCTTGACTAACTGGAATAGCGTAGAAGGATAAAACAAATGTCATTTATACTCATAATGGGAAAAAAATAATCAATCCACTAGAAATAACTCGTGCTAAAAAAATTTGATGCTACATATGGGAAAAAGCAAACATTACTCAATTGTCATTTTTATTTAGAATATTCTGATCTTCCGGATCTTTATTCTTTTTTCCAGGATGGTACTGAACCATGAATTGCATCAAATCCTTTATAAAATAACTATCTAGAGATATTCTGTCTTAATTTCGCCAAGTTTTGTGTCTTTCGCTCTCCTTGCCCGAAAAAAATAAAATAAAATAAAAAATACCTCTTGTTATTTGTTAGGGAAATTGCTTGTTCTTCTTGTGGATATGTCTGTCTTCAATTTTGATTTTGCTTTACTTTTTTTGTTCATAAAAAACAAGAAACAAGTTATTGTTTTTCTGTTTTTTTATAAAAAACAAAAGTTTTGAATATGAATGAATCCAAAAATAATTAAACATGTTTAATGAGTTGCTAGAGGTGGTGTTCGACGGTGGGAGTGACTGGAAGTAGCCACCCTAGTTCGTGGCCAGATGTCACAAGTAATGACTATCTGATTGCAGAAGTCTACTAAAGAGTCATCGGAAGATGGTCAGAGTACATTGGAGCTCGCCGGCAGCTAGCAGTGGGGTGGTGGTGGTGGAAGCAGTGGTGTTGATGGTGGGTGGTGGCCATAGGTGGTGAGAGAGGGAAGGGAGCATAAAAATTTGTTTTGAAAATTAGTGAAAGCACTTTTTCTATTTCCAAAAAATTTTAGAATATTAATTATACCTTCTTAAAAACAAAAATAAAATAAACAAGGTTTGTTTCTAGTTTTAAAAAACAATAAAAACAGAATACAAAAAATAAAAGCTTTACCAAACATAGCCACTAATGAGTTAAAATATACAACTGTTCCCCCACCGATATCTAGTTTTTAGGCCAAACTCTGATGTAGCCAGACGGTGAATCATTTTGGTTGCATTCAAGATTTTCTTGTGATTGATAAAAGCTATTAGGCGAGTCTGTTTTTTTGTGTTTATCTTCTGTTCTTTTCCTGATTACTCAATTTCTCAAGTTGAAATTTGTTTTAAACCTCTAGTGTGCATAGTAGCATTAGTTTAGTGATGTGAGCTGTCATTGGTTTCAAGGTTTTTTTTTGTTTGAAATTTAGATGAATTAATATGGATGATAAGGACTTATCCAGAAAGGCAGACTCCACATATCCTCAAGAATGGTTTTGTTTTTTTTTTTTTTTGGTTTTTTGGTTATATTTGAGGTTTTTCTTACATAAGTCAAAGTACCAATCCTTGTTATTAGCTTCAAATCAGGATCAGGATAAGGCTTCATTTTTGGAGCATCTGTAAATGCAGCCATTCAATTCTTTTTTCTGTTTACTGATAGTGAGGCCTACTTCTATAACATTCCCAATGTGTTTGCTTTCTGTATTCGGTTTTGGTATCGGTTATACTTTTATCTGCCAATAATGCTATACATAAATGAATTTTTCACCAAAATTTCCTTACCAATTGACACAAAAGCCGTGGGTGTCAATAACTGCATATGTAACCTACGCTTTCATATCTATTGAAAATCAAGTAAAAAATTATAGAACATCTCTCTTTCTTTTGCTAGCTAATAACAAGAGATCAGAAAAGGTCAATAGGGAATTGTCATCAACAATGAGACTTAATCCAAAACCATTTCCAAAAGGACTTAACTTTTGTTACCGTCAACTCAGAGAAGTAATATTCATCATTTTATGCTAAAATTCTATTACACATGTTATTTTTTTTATACTATTTTACATTGCTTACGCACAATGATAGTGAACTTTATATTTATTTTCATTATGAGTAGGCGGTATAAAATAATATAAAAATAATATTTTTGTAACCTTATTCTTCATGCTATACAACTCTACCAAACAATCCCTTTTGAGTTAGCAACTTCAATCATTGTGTGGACCCTTGTTCCAAAGCTCCAGATTGGTTTTCCAGTTGGTAGAGGCACATGCACATACAATGCACCGAAGAGGTCCAAAACTGTGTTGTCCTCTTCCTAATACGTCCCCTAATAATTTGCAACAACCCTTGCTTGCTAGCTGGCTGGCTTTTCATTTTACTATTACCAGAGAAGTCCACGTGGCACTCACCCAGGTGAGAGAATCAAGAGACTAACGACAACCCATTTGCATAGTCATAGAGAGACTCATACTCACCTGGGGGAGATATCAATGTTATGCTCCCATATTATCGGATGTTACAACACTTGTTCCCTATGAAACACCGCTGTCTCTTTTGGCCTCTTCTTCGCCACCCAAACAACACTAAAAACATATAGAAAAACATTATTCCTCACACATCAAAACTACATTAAAACTTCAAAACAAACAATCAATCAATCTGTTGAAGAGAGAGAGAGCAAAAGAAAGAAAGAAAGTGAGAGAGAAAATGGGTGCTCAAAAAACCACCCCACAACCCTCTCCAAAGAAAAGGTCCACCTCTATCACCCTCCAACACCTCTTCGATCTCGATTCGAAAAGCAACCTTTCCGGCAACAATGTTACCGGAAAGAGGACGTCTTTCGAGTTAGAGAACGAAGAGGTTCTAGCTCTCATCTCTTACACTACCTTCACTTATACGTTTACGGATCCCTTGGAATCTCCATCGCAGCAAGATCTCAAGCGCCTCAAGCTCATCCAACTCCTCTCCATCGTCAAAACCTCGAAAACCCCGCTTCACTCTCAAATTCTCCCACCTCTCTTCTCCATGCTATCGGCCAACCTCTTCCGACCCCTCCCTCCGCCCTGCACCGCCTCTGTCGTCTGTGTTCTCCCTGATGATGAGGATCTTGCCGCCACCCTTACTGCCGCCTGGCCTCACTTGCAAATCGTATATGATATCCTCCTCCGTGTCATAATGAACACAGACGCCAAGGCGCTCAAAGACTCCGTTGACCGTTGTTTCATTATGAATCTTCTTAATCTTTTCCAAACCGAAGATCCTAGAGAACGGGAGAGCTTGAAGAACGTGTTCCACCGGATATATCTAAAGTTCACTTTCTACCGATCCTTCATGAGGAAAGCGATGAACGATGTGTTCTTGGACTATATATTCGAGACAGATCGGCACAGTGGGATTGGAGAGCTGCTTGAGATATGGGGGAGCATTATTAATGGATTTACTGTTCCATTGAAAGAGGAACACAAGTTGTTTTTAATGCGAGTGTTGATTCCTCTGCATAAGCCCAAGGGAGTGCAGGTGTACCATAGGCAGTTGGCTTACTGTGTGTCTCAGTTTGTGCAGAAGGAGCCTGGGTTAGGTGGGGTTGTTGTGAGAGGGATTTTGAGGTATTGGCCAGTCACTAACTGTCAGAAGGAGGTTCTGCTGATTGGGGAATTGGAGGAACTGGTTGAGAATATGGAGCCTGAGCAGTACAGAATGTTGGCTCTGCCTTTGTGCACACAAATTACCAAGTGCTTCAATAGTTGGAACTCACAGGTAACAAAACTATGATAAAGTCTAATAACGCATAAGCTGATCACAGAATCGGATACAATAATCACACCTTTTTGTGGGGGTCCAATGTAAGGTGTTTGTGTCCAATTCTGTGAATGGTTTCTGTATAAGTAAAAAAACTAACTTCTTGTGTTTTAGGGTCTTTTTTTTTTTTTGCCTTTCTATAGTAGCTGGTGTTGGACTAAGCCTCATTCCCCGCGTCCATTTCCTGTCGACTTTTCCTTTTTTGTGAATTAACTAGCGAAAAATAGCCGGTGGCATGAAGAAAGATAATTCTTGGTTCAGTTCCTCACACAAATGACACAGAAAATAATTGATCAAATTCTATTTAGTCTGACTTATGGTGATCATTTATCAAAGAATTACTCTAGTTTTCAATTATCGAACAATCCCGAGCAATTTATTTGCAATGAAATACATAATGAATTTTGAGTTCAATACGTTAGAAAGACCGATATCCCTTGTTCATTATTTTCTTCTTCTTTTTTTATTCACAAAACTCACGTGGACAAGGTTAATAGTTTTCATTTCTCATCTCACAAAAAACCCTTTTCGCTCCACCCAAATTGACTTTCATGAATCCTAAATTTCAATTATCCCCTCTGTCCTCTCAGAACACTAAACACTACTACTACACAATTCTGCACATGGAGAATCACTCGGTTTTTGCAGTTTCCTATATTTGAAACAAGTGAAATTTCATTTTCAGTCAATAAATGGGACTGGGTTGTAGATTGACATGAAGATTTAGGGTGTTTTGCTAATTGGGGCATGAGTCAATTTAATTTCCATTGAATCAGTCACCATGGAAGCCTCTGTTGTCCTTACATGTGGACATTGTCAAATGAATTGATCACAAAGTAGTTGCTTCATTTTTGTCTGTAATCTCTATGTCAATATCATCAAATTTGTGTATGTACAGGAAATTAACATAAATTCTTTGAATTAATTTAGGTAGCAGAGCGTGCTCTCTATGTATGGAACAATGAACAGTTTGTGAAGATGGCATCACAGGTGACAGAAGAAGTGTTTCCAGTGATAGTTGAAGGCATGGAGAGGAACCTAAAATGGCACTGGAGCAAGAGTGTCAAACAATTGACAGAAAACGTGAAGGTGATGCTGGAAGAAATGGAACCGAGTTTTTACAACCAGTGCCTCCTCAGACTTCAATCAAGAGAATCCGTGGCACGCCAGGAGGAGAAGAAGAGAGAAGAGAAGTGGGGGAAAATAGAAATGGCAGCTGCCGGAAAACAGTTCCTCCAACCACCACATTATGTTTGTGTTTCCAATTAAAAAAAACAAACGAAGTTACAAGAATTATTAGTTTGCAGCTGGTATTGAGATATGCTATTTTAATGCCATTGTACAAGGCAGGAGGAGAAATGCTATGTAATCAGAAAATATCGCAACTAAATTTAATCTATACATTTTAAATTTTGAGTACTTCTCTTGAAAAATTTAATTACTACGTAGTGAAGAGATCAATGAATAGATGTGCAGTGTGTCATTAATCTGCAGAATGGAGCATTATTAGTGTATATGATTGCTAAAAATCTAATTTTGTTACAAGAATCTAATTTCGTTAAGAATATAATTGTTACAAAAATCTTTCCCAACACAACACGGCTTAACCATAGCCTCTGCATGCACGGTACCTCATAATAATTGTGTTAGACAATCTTCACTGTATTTAAATAGATTAAATTCTATTGTGTACTTAACAACAACTAAAATATAAAAGAAATAAAAGAAATGAGAGAAATTGTTTGATTACAAAAATCAAACTTGAAATAAAAATAAATAAATAAAAACATATTTTATTTTGTTACAAAAACAAAATTAAAATCTGATTAAATAAACAAATCAAACAAAATAATAAATTAAACAACTTACTTGATTAATTTCTCTGAATAATTATCTGATCAAGTCCAGTGTTTGACACTATGTCCTTAAGGCAGATTCGTCCTCTCCACGGTGCTTTCAGAATACGGACGTCTATCTCCCAGGATGAAATGCACAACTACAAACAATAGCAGCACTACAAATTGTTTGCCTAACGAACACACTAAGTGTTTATACTCTTTCTCACAAAAAATAAAATGCAACAAAATGAAGAATAAATTTGCAGAGGTGAAGTATGAAATTTCTGAATGAAAAACATCAAATGAAGGCTGTCATATTTATAGATGTATTGGTGGCTGCAGGTTTTGAATTGAACAAGTGCAAACTTGTTTGAACAGGTATGAAACCTGTTTGGTTTTGAATTAAACAGATTTAAATCTGTTGGTTCAAAATTCAAACAGATAAAAACGGAAAGGGCCTTGTTTGGGTGTACAGAAAAATCGGACCAGTTTATTTTCAGTTTAATTTGAATTTTGGATTTTATTTTACCAAAAATAAAATTAAATTCAAATGTTTTTAGCCCAAAAAGATAGGTATTGGGCCGGACAAGCCCAACTCAACCTCACACCACGCACCCGCACTCGTACCCAAGCCCAGGCCCAGCCCAGCCTGCCCGACCGGACGGCAGCGACGGCGCGCGTATAGTGATTTTTTGATCCAATGGGTCTAGCCAATTTTGCCCATAACCTCCCTCTCTAAAACACTTGGGTACCCCTTGGGGCACACCCCAAGTTCCAATCCCATGCCTTATAAACCCAATCAGAACTTCTTACCAAATCAATGTGGGACTAGCCTTATTCAAACCTTTAAAGATTTTCCACCAAAACTCCATTTCTATGGAGCACACTTTGGCTTCAATTTCCATTCACTCGGTAATGGTTTTGAGCAACCAAATATACCACATAAATCACAACGCGACATAGAACGCGTTACCACTTTGACTCGCGAAAATCGACGCACGGGTCCCACCTAAATATTAGACCAAAGTTAGGAAAAAATTTGTTTTTACCCAGATTTTCCAAACCATTTTTCAACAATCTCCCACATGAATGGAATTTGATGACAACGGAAATGCAACAAAATGCAGACTTTATCGAAAGAGTATAAGTCGAAAATATCTTGCATCAGGATAGGTAGCTTGCGGCCTTGAACCTTCCCTAGTGATAACCTATCGGACTTACTGGCTAACCAATGGACGCGATGCCTTGAATTGTTCAGCCGTTTGTGTAAGCCAAGACAATAGATTTCACACAAAATATCTTCTAACACATCGTGGTTCTCACTGTTATGTTCGTTTTGGCCTTAAACGCTCCTGGTTTTCATGAGTATTTCTAGAGAATTTAGCCTCTTCATTCTCATAGAACCGACCCTAGTTCGACACTCATATAGGTGATTCTTATTGTGAGTATCTCCTTATACTTGTCTTGATTTTATACCTAAATCAAGATATAAGTAATCATTAAAAGCAAAACTTATCCTTTTACCCCTGTAGACAACACATGTTGCAGATATCACTCTCACCATAGGAATGGGTTGGGACCATAGGAACGGGTTGGGAATTTTAATCCCTTGGTGATTTTTAGCGAGCCACACACAACTTAGTTGTCCCTTTGAACTTAGTTCTTGGGATCTCCAGTCATATAAGTAGGGTTACCATTATGACGACTCTTATGTAATAGGCTTTAATCTCATCCCCTTCGATGAACTATACATTAGCTCTTTTGTCAAACCTTTTGTTAATGGATCCGCAATGTTCTCTTTAGATTTTATATAATCTATTGAGATTATTCCATTTGACAACAATTGCCTTACGGTATTATGTTGACGACGAATATGTCGTGACTTACCGTTATACATATGATTTTGTGCCCTACCTATTGCAAATTGAATATCACAACGAATGCAAATAGCTGGCACAGGTTTTGGCCACATTAGAATGTCTTCTAAGAAGTGACGAAGCCATTTTGCTTCTTCTCCTGCTTTGTCTAAAGCAATGAACTCAGATTTCATTGTGGATCGTGCGATGCATGTTTGTTTCGTGGATTTCCAAGAAACAGCAGCGCCTCCCAGAGTAAAGACATAACCACTTGTGGATTTTGAATTTTTAGTATCCGATATCCAATTTGCATCACAACAACCTTCAAATACTGTTGGATATCGAGTAAAGTTCACACCATGATCACGGGTGAATCTTAGATATCTAAGAACCCGAATGATCACCTTCCAATGGTCTTCTCCGGGGTTACTAGTGTACCTACTCAATTTACTGATAGCATAAGCTATATCAGGACGAGTACAATTCATTAGGTACATTAGGCTTCCAATGATTGGGGAGTATTTTAACTGAGACATTGCATCACCTTTATTTTTCGATAAATAAAGACTGATATCTATAGGTGTTCTAGCGAAATTCGTATCATCCTTGATAAATTTATCAAGAATTTTCTCAATATAATGTGATTGAGATAATGCATATCCGTCAGATGTTTTAGTAATTTTCATTCCTAATATAACATCTGCGACCCCCATATCTTTCATATCAAATCTTTTGTTAAGCATTTGCTTAGTTGATTTGATCATGTTTTGACTACTTCTAATGATAAGCATGTCATCCACATAAAGACAAACTATGACATATCCTTGGTCAGTATTTTTAATATAGACGCATTTGTCACATTCATTTATCTTAAACCCATTAGTAAGCATTGCATGATCAAATTTTTCATGCCATTGCTTAGGCGCTTGTTTTAATCCATAAAGAGATTTTACAAGCCGACAAACATTCTTTTCTTGCCCTGGCACTACAAACCCGTCGGGTTGCTCCATATAGATCTCTTCATTTAGATCACCGTTTAAGAAATATGTCTTAATATCCATTTGATGTATTTCTAAATGAAACAACACTGCTATAGCAATAAGCATGCGAATAGATGTTATTCTTGTCACAGGGGAATATGTGTCAAAATAGTCCAGACCTTCCTTTTGTCTGTAACCTTTAACTACAAGTCTTGCTTTATACTTGTCAATTGAACCATCTGTTTTCATTTTTCTCTTGAATATCCATTTATATCCAAGAGGTTTAGAACCTGGTGGAAGATCCACCAATTCCCAAGTATGATTTTACATAATAGATTCAATTTCATTATTAACATCCTCTTTCCACAAAGGTGCTTCAGAACCTGTCATTGCTGCCTTAAAGCTTTGAGGTTCATTTTCTAACAAGTATGTCAGAAAATCTGGACCAAAGGATTTTGATGTTCTCGCTCTCTTACTTTTTCTTGGTTCATCATCAGTTAAATCCTGTTGGTCGAGACCATTATTAGTCTTTTGTGTTTGATTGTCATTAGTCTCTTGACTTTGTGTACAATCATATGATCTTTTCTGTGAACTTAATTCCTGTCCTTTCTTGTAAGGAAAGACATGCTCAAAAAACACAACATTCCTTGACTCGATAATAGTGTTCACATTTATATCAGGTATTTCTGATTTATAAGTCAAAAACCGATATGCACTACTATTCTGAGCATAACCAATAAACACACAATCTACTGTTTTTTGTCCAATCTTAGTCTTTTTAGAAACAGGAACTTCAACTTTCGCCAAACACCCCCACACTTTTAAGTATTTGTAGGAAGGTAGTCGACCTTTCCACAATTCATAAGGAGTGCTGTTAGTTTTCTTGTGGGGTATTCTGTTAAAAACATAATTAGCAGACAATATTGCTTCCCCCCACAAATTCTGTGGTAAGCCTGAACTTAGTAACATGGCATTCATCATTTTTTTTTAGGGTTCTATTCTTCATTTCAGCAATTCTATTTTGCTGTAGAGAATAGGGTGCTGTAGTTTGGTGAATAATGTCATGTTGTGCACAAAATTCATTTAATGGTGCATTATATTCACCACCTCTATCACTTCTAACTATTTTAATGGTTTTACCAAGTTGATTTTCAACTTCTGTTTTGTAGAGTTTAAACATTTCTAAGGCTTCATCTTTACTTCTAAGTAAATAAACATAACAATATCTTGTGCAATCATCGATAAATGCTATGAAATACTTTTTGCCTCCTCTAGTTTGAATAAATTTTAGATCACATACATCAGTATGAATTAAATCTAGAGGTTCGATTTTCCTTTCAACCAATTTAAATGGAGCCTTAATTAGTTTCGCTTCTACACAAACTTCACATTTATGATTAGGATTAATTTCAAACTTTGGTATATAATCCAAACCAATTAATCTACGCAAAGCATCATAATTTACATGTCCTAATCTACCATGCCATAAATTCGACTCAAGAATATAAACAAAAGATGTGTTATTCTCATTCATAGCAACTTTTGGTACAACTGTCATTACATTTAGTTTAAAAAGACCATCACTCATGTATCCCTTACCAACATACATGCCACTCTTTGTTAATACAAATTTATCAGACTCAAAGACAAGCCTAAAACCATTTTTACTTAACAAAGAACCAGAAACTAAATTCTTCCGGATGTCAGGTACATGCAATACGTTGTTGAGGGTAAGTTCTTTCCCT